AGAATAGAATACAGAAAAGGAATAGAATAGAACAGAACAGAACAGAACATAGAAGAGAAAAGAAGAGAACCGAACAGAACATAGAAGAGAACAGGAGAGAACAGGAATAGGAAATATGGAATAGAATGGAATGGAATGGAATAGAACTAATAGGAGAGAAGAGAAGAGAATAGGGATTAGGGATAGGAATAGGGTTGGAAGGGACCTTGGAGGTCTTCTAGTCCAACCCCCTCCTCAGGCAGAAAACCCTCTACCATTTCAGAAAAATGGTTGTCCAATCTCTTCTTGAAAGACCCCCATCCTAAGGCATCTTCCCCCCGCCGCCCCCCCAAAAAACACCATATCAAGGCAGGTTTAATTCAAATTTAAATTTAGCAGGCCATGCAAAGTCCATCGGCCGCTTATAGTTTTTTTTTTACCTAAATTTGGTTGTGTAAACAAAACCAGTCTCTCTTTTTCTGCCAAGATCTGACGTTGCCTTCAAACCGGCCGCAAAATAAATCCTAAAACTTAGCCAGACGGGTTCCCTGTGAAGTCGAATTATAAGTGAGACCAAATGTTGTTGAATGGTGAGGAGTTTGAGAGCCGGGCTGACCCAAGGGCTTGTTTTCGTGGGCAAAGAGAAAGTCCTCGAAGAATTGGTGTTCTTCCTGTAATACAAGGAGTCCTCGACTTACGACAGTTCGTTTAGTGACCGTTCAAAGCCACCACCCCACTGAAAAAAGTGCCTTATGACAGGTTTTCACACTTACGACCGTTCCAAATATTCTGGTTTAAACGGAATACACTCTCGCAATCATTTGTTCCACCCGTGTCTGGATCAGTCTCCAATACTTGTTTGCAGCATGGCAGGTCCACCACATGTGAAAATATGTGCCTGATACATCTTTGCACTTCCGACAATTTGGAGATAAGACATTTTGAACATTTTGGAAACATAGCTTTTAAGTTCACCCACCTGGTCCCTGGTTTTTCCCCTCAGCTGGAGCGTTCAAGACAATGCCAATTCGTTTTGAATCCGGATAAGGATAATCTATGAAACTATTTAAGACAGGGGGGGTCTCCAACCTAGGCAAGTATAAACCCTGTGGACTTCAACTCCCAGAATTCCCCAGCCAGCCGTATCTGTTTCTTTTTTCTCTTATCCCCCAAAGAGGAGAGATTGCAGAGGAAGGGATTACAAGAGAGTAAGCTTTGCTGGCTAAGGGATTCTGGGAGTTGAAGGCCACAAGTTTTGCCGGCTGAGGGATTCTGGGAGTTGAAGGCCACAAGCTTTGCCGGTTGAGGGATTCTGGGAGTTGAAGGCCACAAGTTTTGCTGGCTGAGGGATTCTGGGAGTTGAAGGCCACAAGTTTTGCCGGCTGAGGGATTCTGGGACGAAGTCCATAAGCTTTGCCAGCTGAGGGATTCTGGGGGTTGAAGGCCACAAGCTTTGCCGGCTGAGGGATTCTGGGAGTTGAAGGCCACAAGTTTTGCCGACTGAGGGATTCTGGGAATTGAAGTCCAGAAGTTTTGCCGGCTGAGGGATTCTGGGAGTTGAAGACCACAAGTTTTGCCGGCTGAGGGATTCTGGGAGTTGAAGGCCACAAGTTTTGCTGGCTGCGGGATTCTGGGAGTTGAATTCCACAAGCTTTGCCGGCTGAGGGATTCTGGGAGTTGAAGGCCACAAGCTTTGCTGGCTGAGGAATTCTGGGAGTTGAAGTCCTCAAATCTTAAAAGTGTCCAAGGCTGGAGATCCCTGATTTAAGAGATGCTGTGTCTCCTAATTGGAAACTCCCAACAGTCAAAAGTTTCAGGCACCGAGAGGAAGAATGTGCCAGGAAAAGGCAGCAGCACAGCAGGGAAACTCCATGAAAAGGATGGATTTCATTCAGAAAGAAAGGGAAGGAGAGAGGGTAGGTTGGAGGAAGGAGAGGGAGGAAGAGGGAGGAAAGAGGAGGGAGAGAAGGAAAGAAGGAGAAAGGAAAGGAGAAGAAAAGAGAGAAGGGGAGGGAAAGGGGGAAAGGGGGGAGAGGGAAAGGGAAAGGGAGGGAGGAGAGGAGAGGGAAGGGAGGAAGGAAGGAGAGAGGAAAGAGAGGAAGGGAAGGGAGGGAAAGGGAAAAAGGAAGGAGATGGAAAGGGAGGGAGGGAGGAAAGAAGGAGGGAAGGAAGGGGAGAAAAAAGGAGAAGAAAGGAGGGGAGGGGAGGGAAAGGGGAAAAGGAGGGAGGGAGGAAAGGAGGAGGGAAGGAAGGAAGAAGAGGAAGGGGAAGAGAAGAAAGAGGAAAAGCATTGAAGACATCTAGCCCCTTTTTCAAACTCCGCCCTGGTGTCTTTCCTGAGTAGCTACATTTGGGAGAATCATGGTGTGTTCATAAGCCAACATCCAACCAGGACCAATCCCTCCTTCCTTCCCCACACCCTGCACCCTGCAAGCGTGTTGTGTGTTTGTGTTTGTCGTGCAATTCCCAGAAAAATCTGGATTTTGCAAATCGGGACACAGTTGGCCTGACCCAGCCTGGGGAAAACCCCCTCTCTCTCTTTCCTCCCTTCACACACACACACACTCACACACACACACACACCTCCTTCCCCGGACTTCGATCTCCTCTTCCAGGAACTCGAGGGGGTTTTGGGGGGGGGGGGCTCCCCCCACTTCCGCTACCTTCCCCAACACCGGCACCACCACCGGGGTGGGTAACTGATGAGGCGAGCGATGGGGCCCGTCCAAAGTCAACACCCCACTTAGTGGGCAGCCTTGAACTTTCCAGTTTCCCATCCAACCCCTTTGAAATGACTTTGCTGGGGGGAAAAAAGTTGTTATCTTGTCTATCGGTGTAATTGATCCTCACCCTCAGTTTTGAAATAAATCCCTCCAAATGTGTCTTTATCAGCGATTCTTGATGGCTCGGCCTAGTGTTTCTCAGCCTGAACCTCTTGAAGATGTATGGATTTCAACTCCCAGAATTCCCCAGCATGCATAAAGCTGGCTGGGGGATTCTGGGAATTGAAGTCCAGACCTCTTAAAGCATTCTGGCTGGGGGATTCTGGGAGTGGAAGCCCTCCCCTCTTAAAGCATGCTGGCTGGGGGATTCTGGGAGTGGAAGCCCTCCCCTCTTCTAGTGCCAAGCCTGGGCGACCCTGCTCTGTGTTTCTGCCGCGGCATCGCCGTGTTCAACGCAGCCTTCGTGCTCGCAGCCGCACACGCTCTTTGAAACCATCTGCCCCAGCCCAGCCCGCAGGGCCTGGAGTTTTGACAACCAGCACATTCCTCCCTCGCACCCTTTGTGTGCAAAGAAAGCACCAGAGCCGGTGAGATCCTCCGTCCCGGCGGAGGAGCAGCCAGAGAGAAGGGACAGTGTGCTTGGTTTGTGTCTCTCTGTGTGTGTGTGTGTGTGTGCGTGCATGCAGAGGGAGGAAGGCGTGACCAGCATGGGGAATGCCAGACCCCTCCAGACACACTGCCTCACACAGACAACAGCCACACACACACACACACACACACACACACTCTGCCTTTCACTGCCTTTCTCTCTCCTCACTCCAAAGCTCTGGACAAAGATAAGCCAGCCGGCGTTGAGCATCGCACAGCGCACTGCAAGCACATCGCAAACCTCCTCCTATTCCAGAGGCATCCGAGGAGACCCCCCCCAAAAAAAATTAAAGCCACCCCCAAGAGGGTGGGGGGAAAGAAGCCATGAGGTGAGTCGCTGGCAGAAGGGTGGGGGAGCGAGGGTGCAAGATTGCCAACACAATTGTCTCCTTTTGTGTGTGTTTGTGTGTGTGTGTGGTGCCCCTTTGGTTGTTGTTTTCTTTTCTCGCCAAGGAGCATTTCTGGCAGGGAAGGGCGATCAAAGGTACTTTTTTTTCCTTCTCAGGTTTGGAGAAAGACACCTGTCAGTCAGTCACTTTCCTTCCGAAAGAGCAATGCTCCTGTTTGTTTTTTTCAATCTCAGGGGTACCTTGCGGGATTTTGATTCGATTTATTTATTTTTTCTTCCGCCTTGCTGGGTGTGTGAATGACAGGGGTCAAGAGACGGAAGGGTTGGGGGGGGGGTCTTTCTGGATTAAAAAATATGGCATTCTGGGGGTCCCCCCCACCCCAGGATCAAAGGAACGGAGACTCTGGGAGTTGGAAGGGAGAATTGTAAATAAAGATTCAGGGTTGTAAATAAAAATTGGCATCCAGGACTGATCTCTGGAGACCTGCAGGCCGAGTAGAGGAAGAAATGTGGGGGGGAAAAGGATCCAGTGGCTTCTCTCGATTTCTTCCACTGATCTTGGTGCATATTATTATTATTTTAAAGTGGCTTTTGGCAAACGGATTGCGAGTTTTCCAAACAACGGGGGGGCCCGCAGCCCATCAGAAGGACTCTGTTTATTTACTTATTGCCTCATCCTTCGCCGGCTAATCAATTTTGCAACTGGCTTGTTTTGGAAAAGATTGGGAATTAAATCCAACCGGGAAAACGTTGGCAAAACTGGGCAGGTCGTGCTGAAACCGTAGCAAGGTTTGGAGCTACACCGAGCTCTTTCAAGGGTGAGGAAGGGCTTGAGGGTTGCACAGAGCTCTTGTCCTCCTAGTTGGGAACTGCAAGAGGGAAAGGGAGAAAGCAAACTGTAATTAAAGACTCATGTTCGGAGGGCCGTTCGAAGGCTGGGAGTCCATTGTAGTCTCTGCCGTTTATTTTGGCTTGCAGAGAGGGTGATCAACCTTGCTATACCTGCAGAATATCCGCCTGTTTTCCAGAGATTGGGCCCAGAGGACTTGGATATTTGAAAAAGTGGGGTTTCTAACTGCATACACCTCAGTCCCAAACAAATGCTGCAACCAGAGAGCTAAAACCTCAGCTGCTGTATTTCCAACAATAGTGTCCTGAGGGTAAATGGGATTTTAAAAAAAATCAAAATGGCGGAAGGAATAGGCCACTCTTGTCCCGTTTTTAAGCACCAGGCAAGAAATCAGGAAAGAGTGAATTGAAGCTCTGGATAACTTTGGGCTAATCACCAGGAGATGGTAAGTTCTAGTCCCACCTTAGGCACGAAAGCCACCTGGGTGACTTTGGG